CCATTGCAGTTTATTTTCGCGTGTATCATGGTCAATTATTGTGCATGGTCAATTAAGCCCAGGAGATCTTACCAAATGTGACCAAAAATTGAACATTTTCAGTCTTTCATTTTCAGTTGGCAACAGCCAAAAAATCGATTGGGCTCATATTCTCGAATCTCAGTTATTTTTGCTTTCCTACAAGGCCCAATATGAGCATAAGAAGTGGGAAGTTTTCTGTAAGCAAACAGATAAAAAAATTCAAGTCACTCGGCAATCCAAGAATCTGCTCATTGCATTTCAAGGAAAGCGACATCGAGATTTCAATTTCTGGTCGAAAAGTGTATGTTCAGACAATTATCCGACTATCTTTGACCTAACGAAATCTACGACGATAGGAAGAGACAGTGTGATGAACAACCGCAAGCCAAAAAGTTTGTCTCAGAAAGCATGATGTCGAGGAATCCAGAGACTTGCGTGGATTTTAGTGCTGGTGCAACTTCAGTAAATCATGATCACTCTTACTTATGCAGCCAGGAGCAGGCAACACCGAAAAGTAATACTGACGAACGGTTCTTATACTACGCTTCCGAAAGGTAAATGTTCTACGGCTTCATGGACTTGTAGGTTCGGAACATGTCCATCTTTGAACAGTTCATAATCCGTAAGGCTTTTAAAAGACTTAAAGGTTTCTCCAAAGTACTCGTCGGTTTTTCCCAGAGGATAATTAGATATAAATCTGGAAAGGTGACTTCTCTCCTGGAAATATGGAGATGCTGGGTGCGGCAAAACACCTTCGTCTGTGGCAAGTAATTCGGCCATGACAAGATTTTCATTTCCACTTTGCCCTTCAAACACTTTCGCGAGCTTCATTGAATGAGCATTAAAAGTCAGCTCAGCCAAATCGGCCTTTCTTTTACATCTTTCTTCCGAGGATGTTTGTATCTCTCTAGCCCTTTCTTGAAGGAAGGTTCGCAATCACTGCAACTAATGACGTTGAAAGTACTGCAGATTCCTCTCACCTTCCTCTTACGATGTGGCCATGTCCACGATGATTATTTCGATTTACTGTTAACTCGAAGAAACTACGATTTTATACTGAAAAAACGATAATGATTCAGGAAAGCAATGTCAACTCGAAGATATAAACAACCAAAGCTGGATGCGAATGAGTTATGTTCTCCGGAAGCTCGTTTTGGTGTTGAAGTTTTGTTACCAGTCTCTTACGCTGAAATATATCGAAATTGGGCTGTTGTTTCGCATTTTCCATCCAATCTACAGCTTTTTTAACATAGTTAGACTAACTACGATTTACCATACTAGTAGTTTTAATGTGAAAGTGGGTGCTGGCGTCAGAGGGATAATTTCATAACACTCACTTGTCAGTTCATTTGCCAAAGAACAAAAGAATGTTAAAAGTTCACCTAAATCTCCAAATTTAGGGGTCAAAAGTATGAAATGAACCTTTTGATTCACTTAAAATGGTCAAAGTGACATTCCTAAAAATGACAATTGCCTGCTTGTAAGTTGTGAAAGTATTCATCAATGCTGAACAAAAGGAAAGGCCAGGAAAAAGGGTGTCATTCGCATTCATCAACCCTTGTCGGTATATCACATCTACTCATCATCTCACGTGCTTATTACGAATCACCATCATGACCAGCTCTCAGTCGGCTTGTTAGCTCAGTTGTTAGAGCACTGCACTGGCATCGCAGAGGTCATGGGTTCGAATCCCGTACAGGCCTGAATTTTTTTCAGGTCTTAATTTCACTATTGCTTAAATAGTGCTCCTCATTGCGAAGATCGTTCTCGTGTGCGAATCAAGCTTTTGTCCTTCAAAACTCGCGAACGGCCTTTCGGCCAGACCAACACATTTTGAGGAATTTTCAACGTCATTGAGCAAACGACAACTTAATATTGTGCTCGAGAAGTTTTCTTTTGACTCCAAGGTTGAAAAACAATTGGACTCGACGGTCGTCTGGATGCTAGCGATCCTCCTTATGTCGAATGGTTAGCTTCAACGAGTGATCCACATTTTGAATCTATGATTGCAAGCTTTTCTTTCGCCTCAACGGGAAAATGTAACCCAAAAGTTGAATTATTTACCTCTACGAGCATTCCTCGACATCGATCGATATTTCCACGTGCATTTTACGTGATATCATCACAAGTATCGTGGATATAAGAAACGCAATCGACTGCGCATGTCTCCGATCTTACATCCGACAAATTTTG